ATTACGATAACATTACAATTATATTACGATGCATTACAATTAAATTACAATTATGATAAGTAGTGTCTAACAATTTAGAATTATTTTGCTTTTATTAATTTATGTTTTAAGATGAACATATGGAATCAGTTTATCAATAAACAGTTGATATAAAATGACTACTTGAAAACAAAAAAAAGTACATAAAAATCCAAGGTGCCTGGTATCTTCACAGTTTATGACTACTAATGTACTTCAAAGTATTGATGATGATGATTTAAGTACTGTAATAACCTATTAATTAGGAAAAATATATCAATTCTGGGTGCATTATTGTAAAATAATGCACGGTTTTGAGTTCAAATGCGTAGTAATATAATCACGAAGGCCTATAGGCCCGAGTGATTAATTACAAAGCATTTGAACAAAATAAAAAACGTGATTATTATACAACAATGCACGAAAAATTCAAATCTATTTCCATTCTAACACGTCAAGAAAAAATATAATAAGTATTATATAGTTGGACTTTATGTTTGGTGGTTAAATTTGTTTTCGCCTCAGAGTTTCCAACAGAAACGTTCTTTAAAGGCTGTTCCAGTGGGTTGAAAAAAATGCCGTTAAATCTACTGTGTTTAGAAACATTTTGAGAATAACGAATTTTGAAAACGTTGATAAAACTTTGTTTATTTTTATTTTACTCTATATTTTTCAAGCGAAATACAAAGCATTAATAGTGAAATAAAATTGAAATTTAACTGGTTTGCAACTTCTTGATTTGATTGCTTTTGCACGTGCTGTTTGGCGCTACATTGTGACGTCACGTAAACAACACTTTAAACGTCTGTACAGAGTTAATGACTGAATCAAAGATATTGGTTTTCGGATTCATTTTCTTAGTTTGACCATCTTCTTTCATTCTAGATAGTTTTCATAACAAAATTCGACAAAAAATGTTTTTTATTTATCAGATTTTTAAAACAAAATGGCGCCGTCAATGTGTCGGATTGAAAATACACAGGGAGGTAATAAGAACTGCGAGTGTATTGTTTAAGAAATAATATATCCCAAACTGTGATTTTATTGTTCAATAACATCACTGTTTGGAGTTCGAATGCGGGGAAGTATATCACGAGGGCGTAGCCCGATTGATATAATGATGCGCATCCGAACGACAAACAGTGATTTTATCAAGCAATAAAATCACCGCTTTGGATAATTATATTATTTCGATTCTAACACGACATCAACAAATAAATGCTGCCGTGTCTGATATTAAGCTAAATTGCACCTGATTTATTTCCGTACTTGTTGTCAACGCGTCAAAGTGGTTACGTCATGTGTATAATGATTACGTCACATGTCTAAATATAGAACGTCAAACAGTGACCTTATAGCATAATAACACACACTTTCGGTTCTTCTATGTTCAATAGGGAAAATGCGGGTCGAGTAAGAATATAGAATAATGCACGCTTCCGGCCTTTTTTATATAGAAAAAATTCCGTTAGTGTTAGAACACGACAGTATCAGTGTTTGGACACCCCACCCCTATCTGCCCCTGGACCACTATTACAACCCAGAAAAAAAATTATAAAGAAAATAATTTTCCACTATCGAAATTATTGTAATAAACTATAAATATAATTTTTATAGTGGAGATTTTTTTCGCTAGTTATGTATTTGGTACCTTATTGTAAGCCTTAGACTGTTGAATTATTTTTTATTCAGGGTTGTAGTAGGGGTCCAGGGGCAGATAGGGTTGGGGTGTCCAAACACCGAAACTGCCACCTGTGTGTTAGAATAGTGCAATAATGGTTGTTATAAAATTACAAAATAATTTTATTGAAATCGGTAGAATTTGACGTGCCCCTACACCATAATGCCCATAATGAACTATCATTTTAGAATCCATATGGTCTGGAATCCATTGTGCAAATCCATGTTTTTGCTACCTTGGTTATAACCTACAATTGTACATATTCTATTTTCTATTTAATTAGAGCTATTTGTTATCTTATTAATTAAAGTGTCATTATGCTCATCCAAGGTTAAACAATGAGTGAACAGATGAATATCAAAATAAGTTTATAATTTGGCCATAATTCCTTTTAATTTAATTATTTACCTCCCATTAACAATAAATAATGGGCAGATCCACATAAAATTTCTGTAAATATCTATTAGAATTTACCTCTAACGCTCAACTTATAAAAAGAGCGGGGCAGTGTTTTTATATTTAAGGCAGACTTATAATTTTATCCCGAACGTTTTCCAATATCAACTGTTGGTCAAACATCATTTTAACAGTCAATCTTTTGAAATATAAAGTCAATTCAGTTCAACTTGACTATGAAAACATGAGCATAATGTCATAAAAATATCTGGATTTATTAAAATAATATGTAAATAAAAATTACAATAACATCCGTAGGCATCATAAGATCTAGCTGCATGGTGCCAGCAACGGTTGCCACTTGGAACCCTATGTTATTGGTAAGAAGCACCGTAAAATTGCCATTCTTTCCGGTCAAGTCGGTATTAATAACTGCAACTTCTGAAATGATAGAGAATTAAAAAGAAATATGTAGAATGCACTTGCAATTAAAAAAGAAAATAATCAATAAAAAATCAAACTTTTTAAGCTGGAAAAACGTGATATTGCTACGCAGAAAGTAGGTAGTGATCTTTCTATTCTTTCTGCATGATCTGTATGTATTTTAGACAGACTAAATGTCTTCTCAACTGCATGATCGGAATGTATTTATTCTAACATATAATGTATTTCCAAAGCATTTGCTGAAAGAGATCTTAAGTCTTTTTAATGCATTGGCGGATAAGATCATAGATTTAATGTCCTTACAATTGCGTGGACAGTATGGGTTTAACATTTTGAATGGAAGCCATCTTTCCTATAAGATAAGTCGGCTGCTCGTTAACCACCTTTGCAACACGTGTTGCAGCAGATCTACTAAAACCATTGTTTTATTTATAATATATAGTTTTGTTTATATCAACATTTTATTGAAAAAATACATTATAAAGTTTATGACAAAAACGGTTTTATATACATTAAAATAGCATATGTTATAATTATGACAATTAAATTAAAAAAATGCATAATAAATACCACTGAATTTCTAAAAAGATTTTGGTTTTCATATACTTCATATTGTCACTGACACTAACAAAGCTAGGATACCTTTGAAATCTTGCCATTTTAAAGATTTCTCCTTAAACTCTTTAATTTCTCCATTCAGTAGCACTTCGATGTTGTCGATATCTTCTTTTTGCAACCTTAGTTCAACCCTGTCTGATATTCCTTTGTTTTCTATGGCCACAGATGTCAACGTGAACGTGTTGTTAATAACCTTCCCACCTATGTGAAGAAAGAAAGACATAAGATTTGTAATGAGTTGTGATATGAAGTCCATATGTGTTTACCTGGAAGGAAAATGAAACAGCCTGTAACTAAGCAAGCATTGTTTTTACACGGTAACTTCCCTTTAATTAATTCAACCATTTGTTTAAACAAAACTTTACAAGGTTACTTCCCTTTAGTTAAATTTACGCAAATACGTCCATTGCTAATCGTGCTTATTTTCATCTAATGCTTGATTATACAATTCCCATAAATAAAACAACATGTATGCTTTGTTGAATTCAAAATATTAGTTATAACTGCTTACTTTCAGTTGGAGTAAGATTATTCTCAAATCTCGCCTGCACCTCTGTGGTCCCTGCTCTAAGCAAAATGTAATCCCCTGACGCCATGATGCGGATCTTCTGGCCTCTAATTGTCGCAATGTGACCTTGCCCGTACACAAACGCTATAAAATAAATATGGCAGTGAAACTACATCACAATTCTTACGTCATCATAATTATGTTACAAACTAGCAGTATAATATATAAAACAAACAAATAAACTTACAAAGAAAACAATAACGAATAAAGACCAAACTGCGCTACAATGTGATGAACACGTTTGTTTTTAACAGTAATAAGTATGTCGGCCGATTTCGTACACTTTGCGCGTTGCGTTGTCGGTAGCAACTTAACCTATATCGTTATCGCCTTTTGGTCTTGTCGTCTTGTCGCTAGAGAAATACGCCAAAAGGCGCCTTGACTCATCGTCATCTTGTCGTCCTGTCCTAGCGAAGCACGCTAAACGGCGTGTTGTCGTGTGGCGCGATGTCGCACTGACGCTTGGTTTATGTATTTACATAGCAAATCCTTCGATTTGAGCCGAGCGACAATGTGATATCGTGGCAACACCCGCATGACAACGCGGCTTTTGGTGTATTTCGTTAGCGACAAGACGACAGTGCAACATCGCGCCGTTTGGCGCTTTGTTGTGCTGTCGCTAGCGACAACACGACGCACAAAATTGCACCAAATTAGCCAACATATATAAGTAATCCTGGAAAACAGCGTCCAAAATCCAGGTTAGTTACATGATGCCAGATGATATCGTTAAAATAAATATAATAATGCCATTGGTTTTCGTTGGAATCATTTGTCACTAACAATAGCTAGTAAAGTTTGAAGATATATCGACCATTATCCAAGCTGAAAATATGCTAATTATAACTAGAATTTTTAAAAGAGTTACCAATTTACGCCGCCTAAGTTTTTGATGAAGTACAAAAAAGTACTAAAAAGTTTGATGAATAGATCTAGCATACTTTCAGTTAATTGCTAAATGTGCACATGGACAATAAATTCATCATATTAAATGTAATTTACTAACTCGTATGTTTATGTATAAAGTTTTTATCACTGAAAATAGGATATACCAGGAGATAATTAAAAACTAATCTAGATTACAGTGCGCTCCCTATCGCTCTTATCCATGTATATATCAATTTTCGCTGGAATATCTCCGTAATACTTTTCAGAATTATTCCCTGGATAATGGTATAACAATGCTATGATTTGACCAGTAATTGTGACCTTGATCTTGACGGTGAGGTTCTGAGGTGTTGCGCATGACGCATTGTCTATATTTGTACAAACTTATGTTAAAATCCTTTCATGAATGGAAGGATGTTGACCTAAAACGAGTCTAAAACAAATCTTAAGCTTTAACCTCTAAGTGACTTTGGGGGTAAGGTCTTGGTGTAGCGCATGGCACATCGTCATATAATGGTGAGCCAAGTAAATTTCAAAATCGCTTCATTGAGGAAAAGTTATTGACATGACAAATTATACCCGCCAACAAAGTTAACCTCTAAGAGTGACATTGGCATGTCAGCGTTTTAGCTTGATGGTTGATATCGTAGGATATAACTGTATAAATTTAGCAGGCATATACCTGGTACGGGAGGATTATATTCCGTACAATCCGTAGTTCCTCTCAGCTCAACGTAATAGTCACATGACTTGAAGTCGGTCCACTGGCAACAGCTAAACAGCGGAATTATATCGTCTACCCAATGAGAGAGAATTGGAACATGACCAGGTTTACCATAAGGTGCAGCTCCCCAATCGTGACTTTTGTCAGCTGTACTTCCAAAATATGTA